GGACGACTGACTCCAGAAAGAGTGACTGTAAGTTCGGCAGAGCTGGTAGTCAGAACGTGCTGATCATGGACCCCAGTTCTACAGGGACGATGCAGCGGATACAGAGTGAAAAGAGCATCCTGGATGAACCAGACTCTCCTCTAGAGGTTTGAATTTCTTAGCTATATGTTCCTACATCAAATTCGCCATTTTAATTCACTCTCCTCTTTTTATCTGTCATACATTGTTGTTCAAAGTGATTTATAGCGGGGGCCTACACTGAAGCTTCAGTACAACAAGTAATATATGTCAAGAAAGGGAAATTGTGAATCAGTTGAAGAAGCACGCTGATGTCTTATTTTCAGCACCCTGGAGAGCGACACGAGCTCATTAAAACTGCGTTTGTTTTTCAGGTAGTTTTTTTGTAAATTGCTACTCTGATTAACTGAATCTGTTACAAATCAAGAATTTACACCTCACATGTCTTCATTAGGTGCCATTTTATTGGTTAGTTAGCTGTTGTATCAGACATCCTCGTCCACTCACAGGAAAATTTTTATTTATTTATTTTAATGTATGTCCTTTCTTTCTTTTTGTACATTTCAGTTGCAATTGGTATTGATAACCTCGCCGAGTCGCTGTTGGCCAGTTTGTATCAGATTTACCGCAGACTCTTTGTACCTCCCATCAAGTCTTTATTTTAGAGCGAGAGAAAGACAGACGCTCAGCGCACCGTCTGGAATTAACCGGAGATACAGGACGTCGAATTCCTTTTCATGCCCGGATTATACTTCAATAGTTGTGTTTTCGTCTAAATTTGGGACAACAAACGTCAAAAGGCGTCGATGGTTCACACTGGAATAACGTCGCACAGAACAATGAGAGGGCAAGTACTGCTGTTTTTGTCGGTCCTCTCTCTCAGCTCGGCGCTTGGGCAGGTCAGCTATTCCATTCCTGAGGAAATGCCCAAAGGCTCTCTCGTTGGAAATATGGCAAAAGATTTCGGGTTGGATATTAAAAGACTTAAATTCGGCAAAGCTCGCATATTTACTCGAGACAGTGACAAATATATTGAGCTGAATAACGAAAGAGGAGTCCTCCTAATCAAAAATAGGATAGACAGAGAGGCGCTGTGTGGTCAAACGACGCCTTGCGCTTTGCATTTTCAGATTATATTAGAGAATCCGATGGAATTTTACAGTGTAACTATCGAAATCACAGATGTTAATGACAACCCTCCATCATTTGAAAAGAACGACGTCAGATTTAAAATTAGTGAATCCGCTGTCAGCGGTGCTAAATTCATATTAGACCGTGCCGTTGATCCTGATGTTGGTTCAAATGGTCTGCAAACATATAGACTCGAGCCGAGGGATAATTTCGTTATTAAACTCCACGATCAAGCAGATGGAACGAAAAATGTTGAAATGGTTTTAGAGAAACCTCTCGACAGAGAGAAGCATGAGCACTTGTCTTTGGTTCTGACGGCGGTGGATGGAGGGGATCCGCAGATGACAGGAACAATGCAGATTCTCATCACTGTTTTAGACGTTAATGATAACGCTCCAGTCTTTACACAGCCAATTTATAAAGCCTCGATAAAAGAAAATTCTCCAGTCGGTACAGCTGTTGTTACAGTTACTGCAACAGATGCAGATCATGGAAGTAATGGTAGAATAACGTATTCTATTTCAAGTATATCAGATCAAGCCCGTGGGTTATTTCAAGTAAATGATGAAAGTGGTGAAATTCGACTGAAAGGAAATGTTGATTATGAAAAGGCTCGAACATTTCAGATAAACGTTCGAGCCAGTGATGATGGAGGACTGGTTGATTCATGTAAAGTGATGATTGACGTCACTGACGTGAATGACAATAGACCCGATATTCAAATTATATCTAAATCAAACGTGATATCAGAAGATGCCAAACCCGGTACTGTTGTGACGATGATAAATATTCAGGACTCAGACTCGGGTGATAATGGTAAAGTCCAGTGTACGATCAATAATGATATTCCTTTTGTTATTAAGTCAACAACCAATGATTTCTATAGTTTAATGTCAGACAGTGAATTAGACCGAGAGAGATCCTCAGAGTATAATATCACAGTGACCTGCTCTGATGAAGGAGTGCCCTCCCTCTCCAGCGGCGTCACTCTCACCTTACAGATCTCTGACGTGAATGATAACGTGCCTGTCTTTGAGAGGAGCTCATATGAGGCTTACATTGTAGAGAACAACACACCAGGTCTCTCTATATTCACAGTGAAAGCCAGAGACGCTGACT